AGGACCCTCTTTCCAGGAAAGGGGAGATACTCAACCCCACAGTATGCAGAATGAGAGTCTGTAAGAACAGTAGAGCTGGTGAGGCCTTCTGCCAAGAAAGGGGCTGTCCCATCCTTTCTGTGCTCCAGTCACATAAAAGGAAAGAGAGGAGGGAGTCGGAGAGAAACATGTCTGGGCCTTGCCCTGAGCAGGAACAGCCCCTGGCCCTGGTTTACCTTCCAAAGACCATCTCCTCCAAGGGCTCTGCTTATTAGCTTACCACGGCGAAAATGCTACTTTTTGTACTGCACACCAGTTTTAGGAAGTTTAGCCATGAGGATAGAGGGTTAAGGAGTACCTAGTATTCATTTAGAGTAGTGTTTTCTAATGTGTGGTATAGACACCATGGTATAACACTAGGTAATGTCAGGCCATCTCCTAAGCTGTATGGGGTAGAGGCAGCCTATGTGGATAGGCCAGGGAAATGTAGGGAAGAGGGGTTTGGGGAGAAATGGCCTACAGGATTTCCTTTTTCTAGACATTGGTGCTTCTTTCTCAACCCAATTAGGATGCTAGAAACATTCTTTGAACCTCATTTGTCCATTAAATCAACCAACAGTTATATAAATTGCTTTTTGTTATTGAATGACCTGGTTACCAACTCAACTCTGACCCTCACTAAACACAGTCAGGAAAACACTTAGAAGTACCTTCCTTGCATCTCTTCTCTTCATCACGTTTAAACAGGATTGCGGTTGTGTGTGTAGGTAAGGCAATGTGCCATTCCTTTGCAGAAACTAACGAATAACCGGACACACTCAGAAAAATATATTCTGAATATATTGCAAAAAATATTGCCCCTGATGGCTTCTCTATATACAAAAATTTGTTGAACAAAAATCACTTATATCATGATTCTCAATCTCTATCAGCAAAGGTACAGTTAAGTGGATATAATTTGCCTTTTCTGTATACAAATTTGGATTGAGATTCAAGATAAAAATCCTATCAACAGAAAACTCCATCTTTATGCTACACTTAAAATGCTAAACTGAACATTCCTAAGGAACTATGGACAGTTCACTTATTCTCCTTGAGGAATTTTTTTTTTCAGTATGAATTCTGTAAACCATTTATAGTGACTGCATTGTATTTTTAATTAAAATTAACAATCTAAATGTTAATATTATTTGGTGGGCTTGCTTTTATAGCTTCCTTGTATTTATATGGCAAATAATATAGATTTTCCTATTTAAAGAAGTTATAAAAGTTTTCTTTCTAAACAAAATTTTATTAGATCAAAAGTTTTACTTAAAAAGAGAAATTAAAATTTTAATGAAGGTATTTCGTGTTTACAGGGAAACTCAAGATGATAGTGAATGAATGATAGCAGTGCAAGAAACACTTCTCCCTGTGGTCCTCCCTGGAGAAAGATACAATGACTCAGAACCAGTGGTGGCCGATGAAAAGTTAAGATACTCAGCATCAGTGGAAACCACAGAGATGTTCGAGAACTTAAGATCTTCTGGGAAAGATAAGGTAAGGCAGACAACACATAAAATCCGTACATAGCAGTTCTACAAATCATGTTTTGTTCAACGTTGGTTATAATGTTGAGATGCTGTAGGAACTTGTTGATATCAATTAGCCAATGGTAAAACTGGTTTCATTCATTATACATCATTTTGCTTAATGTCACAGAACCTATTGATGATATTGAGTACTTAATGTACATATTTTTTGTTTCTAAAACCCATATAGAACATAAGTAAATGACCTTTGCTACACTGTATTTGGCAATAGTGGGTTCTATGCTATAAATTCCCTAAACCATTTCTTATATGATGCATGCTGCTTTGAGGTCATCCTTCCCTACTGCTAGCATATAGCATCCATGCCAAGAGCACTGTTCCTCACTTTCTCTTGTTTGCTCACTATCCTAGTGGATTTGACATTGTAGGCTTATTTGGTGGGCTTGCGGGTTCTGTTGAACAGGAAACGCTATCATCCTAGAGAGAAGCAGTTATTAGTGGATAAAGACAATTATGCAACAAGTTTTTAAGTATCCTTTATTGAAAAGAGAGGCTAAATAAGAATTTATTACCTCCCATCCCCAATTCTCCACCTTAAATCATCCCAGCTCTGCCCATAAGTCTTTGTGAAATCATTTATTTCCAATTCTTCTTATGTGTCTCAGGGGCCATAATAGAGTTCAAAGGCCTAGATGTCCTTTTTATTTCATCTCTCCCAAGGCAATGCAGCACAGTAACAAGAGAATAACCTTTTAAGTCTGATGGGCCTGGGTTTGAATCCTGACTCATCATTCGATGACCATGGGAAGATATATGATCCCTCTGAATCCAGAATCTTCATCTGCATTGGGAAGATAACAATATCTTCCTAATTAGGCTGTTGTGAGGATTAAATGAAATAAAATATATCAAGAGCTTATTAGCACAGTACCTGGCACATATTGAATAACTAATACATGCTGACTTTTATTAATACTACTAAAAGGTATAGATACCTTCTCTTTTCTGCCATCTAGTCTATTTTTCATTCTTAACAATTTCTTTTGTTGTTTGCCAAATAACAATAATACATATAAAAATCCTCTTAAATATATTTTAAAGATACATATTGATCCACATTATATGTGTAAGCACAAATGCAGAGAAAAATACTATATATTCAGGTCAATTGAACTTTTTCCAGATTTTATTCTTCACTGGTCAGATGATTCAAATTTTAGAAACTCTGAGAAAAATTGCTTTTTCATTTAGTTTTTACAAAACACAATTTGAATATTTGCCTGGGAAGGAAATTGATGATTACACAAGGATTTGGTATAGTATTCAATGAAAAGGATCACATATAAAATTTGTAGTAATAGCCCAGAATGATCCTGAGCTTGAACAATTATGCACAATTTTTAGAAACTTATATGTAGGGGTTTGTGAAGTACTAAATTTTGGTGAAATAAATTCAGTACAACAAAACTGGGGCAGGGCCCACCCTTTAGAATTATAGCTTGTAAGTAAAGCTCTCGATCTTTGATTTTGTTTGTTTTGAGATTGTTTCTTTTGAGGTATATATTAGCTTTTGGCTTTATCTCCAGTCACAGCCCATGGCCTTCCCTTTACTCTCTGATGTGAGGAAGATTGGCCAAGAGAACACATGCACAACTTCTTTATGCTTTCTTGTTTTCTGTTCATTTTCTTAAAAAATAATTTATTTTTCAATTACAGTTGACATACAATATTATATTAGTTTCAGGTGTACAACATAGTGACTAGACATTTATATAACTTAATAAGTGATCACCTCCTTAAGTCTAATACCCATCTGACACCATACGTAGTTATTACAATATTATTGACTATATTCCCTACGCTATACTTTACATCCCCAGGACTATTTCGTAACTACCAATTTGTACTTCTTAATCCCTTCACCTTATTCACCCATTCCCCCAACCTCCTTCCCATCTGGCAACCATCAATTTGTTCTCTGTATCTATGAATTTGTTTTGTTTGTTCTTTTTTAATTTTCCACATATAAGTGAAATCATATGGTATTTGTCTTTCTCTTTCTGACTTATTTCACTTAGCATAATACCCTCTAGGTCCATTTAAATTGTCACAAATGGTAAGATTTCAGCCTTTTTTATTGCTAGGCTAAGTAACATTGCATTGCATGTATACTACCACATCTTCTTTATCCACTTGTCTATCCGTGGACACTTAGTTTGCTTCCATATCTTGGCTGTTGTAAAAAATGCTACGTGAACATAATAGTGCGTATATCTTTTCAAATTGGTGTTTTGAGTTTCTTAGGATAAATACCCAGAAATTAAAATGCTATGTCATATGGTAATTCTATTTTTAATTTTTTAGGAACCTCCATAATGTCTGTACCAATTTACAATCCCACCAACAGTGCACTAGGGTTCCCTTTTCTCTACATCCTTACCAACATTCGTTGTTGATGTTTGTTGATTTATTTATAAAAGCCATTCTGACCAGTGTGAGGTGATATCTCATAGTGGTTTTAAGTTGCATTTCCATCATGGTTAGTGATGTTGAACATCTTTTCATATGTCTATTGGCCCTCTGGATGTCCTCTTCGGAGAAATGTCAATTTAGATAATCTGCCCTTTTTTAAATTGAATTATTTTTTTTGATGTTAAGTTGTATCCATTCCTTATGTTTTGAATATTAACCCCTTATCATATGTGTCATTGGCAAATATTTTGTCGCATTCAGATTTGTCTTTTTGTTTTGTTGATGGTGTCCTTTGCTGTGAATATCTTTAGTTTGATGTAGTCCCATTTAGTTATTTTTTCTTTTGTTTTCCTTGCTCAAGGAGATATATCTAAAAAATAATATTGCTAAGAACAATGTCAAAGAGTTTACTGCCTGCATTTTCTTCTAGAAGTTATATGGTTTTAGATCTTACATTTATGTCTTTAAACCATTTTGAGTTTCCTCTTGTATATTCATTTTTTTTTTTTTTTTTTTGCATGTGTCTATCCAGCTTTCCCAGCACCATTTACTGAAAAGGCTGTCTTTACCCCATTGTATATTCTTGCCTCCTTTGTCATAGATTAATTGACCATATAGGTGTGAGTTTATCTATAGGCTCTGTTTTTTTCTTCCTTCCTCCTCTTTCTCTTTGCAAAATGATTTTACCAGAATGACTTTCAAATAGAAAGGAAAAAGTCAAATACATTTATGGTAGGTTTACCTAACTTGGATGAGTTCCATAAATAAATGCTTACATGACCTTTAGAGAAGGAAAAAATAATTCAGTACCCCCATAAGATGGTAAAAATGTCATCTGTTTCAGATCAGTATTTGATAGTTTGTTTTCTCATACACAAACGGGAAAAAGTATTAATTAATATCTTATTTTTCCCCAACTTTTTTTCAACTTTTCATTGAGAAATTACTGAGATTTAACATTTATAATCACCTTGGAAATAACTGACTTCTCACTAATTTACTCAAGAACTTAACAAGTTTCAAAGATAAAGAAACAACACTTTATTATAAACTTATAAAATAATTAAATATTACACATATATTTTGACTTTTCTCTATAACCCATGGTTTTATTCAACACTTTTCCTCAGAATTATTATCACTTACTCAGGGAAGCAAGTGAGAACACATAACAATAAGCTATTAAGTAATAAATTAATTTTCCATAAAATAAAATGATAATTATATAAAGTACAAATAACTTGCAGTTTTTCAGAGGGCAAGGGGATGGTGATGTAGAACTCTTTTTTTCTGATAAAATGACCACTACTCTAGGCCAAGACAAGTAGGTTGAGAAAACAGTCTAATGATTTCTCGGAGACTTGGGAATGCATGATTTTAATTAGAATGGGAACCAAGGATGCTCTAAATTTAACAAACCGCTGTCTAGTTGGTTGTGCTGAGCCAGCAAATCCATTTGAATTGAGACTTTTTAAAGCACTAAAATTGGGTTACATTCATCAAAGAAATTGAATACAGTAGAATTATATAAATATGTCTTTTATAACCATGACTCAAAAAATTACAGAAGGACACAGTCTTGTAAGTTACTTTGGTTTTGGCAAAATAGTGCAGTGTTTTTCCAATTGAGAACAATTTTAAGCTCATTAGTGCCAACCAACAACTGGCTTTTGAAGACTGAAAATATCATCTGAGACTGTAAAATACTCTTATTCATTGAAGGGTCTTGGCATATTATGATTTATTAATATTAGCATAGTAGGAAGACAGATGGAGTTTTCTATTGCCACTGTGACTTTTTTGCTTGTTAACTAAATTCTAGGGCAAATTTAAACATATCAGTTGATAGGAAAAAAACCACAAGTGGCCTTTAATTTCCTAAGCAGCTCTGATAATATGTAGGGAGCATTACAAATGATGTTCCTTCTGTTAACACACTGCTATTTAACTCCTTAGATTTTTACCAGAAATGGACGTCTCACCAATTCTGATTCTCAAAGGAATCAGACTCAAGGATCCCGTCTACTTGTTCAGCTAGCACCAAAAGTTCCGAGGTCCATATAATGTGTCGGGCATATTTGCCTTTCTTAGGAGTTTTCCCCCGAGGGTGTGAATTTCAATTAAATGGAGATCTTAAATAGTCCATGTTGCTCTGTTTTCAGAATATGCCTTGGAACACTTTTCAAGTTGTGAATTTTAGTCTTGGAGACTTTCTATAAGCAGAATATACTTTTAACAAAATAATAAAAACAATGCACGCACACTAAATAAACATAACATGAAGCTTGCTAGTCCAGCAGCAAGCACAATTGTGAGCACCATTTGGCTTCCTGTATATCCTGGTTTGGGTCATCTAGTTTGTCAGACTGTGAGCTCCAAGTAAACGTTCCATCCACATTTGATTCTTCCAGCTCTGTCTGTGACCTAAAGTCTTAAAGGACCTTTTCTAAACAGATGTCTTTGCCATGGAGCCCTTTCAGATTCGGAAGGGGGTCTGTCCCAAAGTTGACGTGTCTCAGTGTGATTCATCACTTCTTTCGTGTGACAGTGCAAATTAATGTTGTTTTCTTTTTAAGTCAGATTTGTCATCGCTTCCCATTTTCAAGTGCTTCGGAGTACCATGTGCTTTGGGGACTAAGAAGCGTGTCTGTGCTGCAGAGCTGAGTCCTCACACTCCAAGCCACTTGCGAGCTGCTGCAGTCTTCAGCTTTCAGTCCGAAAGATGGCTGGTATGTCCAGAGGTTGAGAGGTAAGACCTGGCCTGAAGGTGCTGAGAGGGCATCAGCTCTTCCTTGTGCATGACTTGCAGCACTGTTTACCATAAAATTTGTGGTTGCAGACACCGTGCTGAGGAACTAGATGACACCAGCTGAAGAAATCTACACAGGATGGATCCTCTAAAATCAGAAATCATATTTAGCATGTTAGGAAAACATGATTAAGACATCGAAAGGGACTGTGATCATTAGCAAAATTTAAAAAGGTAGGGGGAAAAGTGGATGTGAAGATAAAAATTGTATCTAGCCAGAGATTAATGTCTGATCTTCCTCGAATAACCTGGGAGGTACCATTTTACATCCAAGGGAAGTACCTAGAACAGCATATTCAGAATCCCCTGAGGACCTTGGGGAGCAAGGAGCCTGATACATTGAGAACTGGGACACCAAGACTGGAGGCCCAGCTGCAACACTCTGTGTAGGTTTAAATAAATCTCTTCGCCAGTTTGCAACTAAGTGGATTTAAGTCAACACTCGTCCTTTCTAACTTTCGTTGTTCACAGAGGGTAACAGATGCGATTATCGACTGGAAGCAGAACACTGAACATCAGGGATCCTTACCCAGAAGGGCCTCACGCTACAGAATGTGCAAGAAATTGTGAGTAAGATGTCTTTTATGTAAACATAAATGAATGTTTGAGGACCTAGGGCTTAGTCATTTTATTAGATTCTCAAGGATTTTTTTTGACTTCAAAAATTCTTAGTCTGCCCTATATGTGAATAAATATTTTGGAGGTTTTCCCTTTCTCTATGCAAGCCTTAAATTATTTTTACCTTCACCTTAGCCAAAACTACACACCACCCATGAGCCCCCTTCAGTGGCTCTCCACTGTGCCTTTGGTTGCAGCATGCAAAGGTCTCAGCTCTCCTACTGCTCCCAATTTGTAGCCTATCTTTCTATGCTTGAGAACGGTCTATAGTTTCTTCTTCAAGCCTTTGTTCTTATGCCTAAAATTCCCTTGTATACACATCTCACCTTGTAGTGGTCCCAGTGATCCTCTGAAAACATAAACCAGGTCATGCCTCTGTCCCAAAGTCTCCCATTAGCGCCCAGCCTCTCAGAGTAAAAAGTAGTTCTCATAAGGGCTGACAGGGTCCCAGGATCTGCTTCCCATGGTCTTTATACACGTGGGTACATCTGAGAGAACATGACCACTTGCTTGAAAGGTGTACTTCATCTCCCATAAGCTTTCTGCTGAGAAAGGCTACGGGTTTGGAGAATTCCAGCGTTGCTTAGAATTGGCAATGCTGACTCTGAGAAGGGGTCTGACTCTGAGCAACTGCTGTGTTGCTAGCTTTCTGGTCTTGTGCAAGCTTCAGATAAGATAGGCGAGAAAGCAGAGGAAGGAAAAGGGATGCCCAGAGCTGGAGCTCAGGCCATAAGAAGCAGATAAACGACAACAATGAAGACAGAGATGAGAAGTGATGTGGACAGGGGAGATGAAGTGAGTCATCGTCCTGGATCTGGTTCACCGCAAATGGGAAAGCATGGGGTATGAGACTGGATAGTCGGGGAAAAGCTGTGACTGGGTAAAAAGAAAAAGCAGGTACATGATGGAAAATGTTCTTTAGCCCAAGGAAATCTGATTAGGTTGAAAAAAATATTTTGTGGTGTCAGATTAATGTAAGTTGCTCTGGTGAGGAACGGTATATAGTTCATTCAGGTAACTGAATTTCCCATTAGCACTCACTGCCCTTCTTTTGAACTGAAGAAAACATTTAAGCTGTAGTCCTAGGATAAGACACATTCATGGTAATTTATCTCCTTGAGGGCAATTCTTGTCCACTCTTGCATTTCCACCGTCTTGCACACAGTGGTTACTTTTTCATTTGTTCAACTAAAATTTAGTTTAGAAAAATGGACTTGCAAACTTTCAAATAAGAATTAATGATGAAAAAGCCCTATCATAGAATTAAATGTTCCCTGCATACAAGATCGCTTTGAGCGGGAACTACCTGGATCTGTGCCTTGTGTGCCTCCAAGGAGCACCGTTCACGTGGACTTTGATGTGCATGGCACCCCCTAGAGGTGGGCCGTGTACGAGCTGCACCACCAAACAGTGGGTGTTAGAAAAATTCTCTGAAGACTAGTAAAATTGGAGTGTAGGGGTCACTTTTACCTCTCTTTTCAGGAGCTGGACAAAAGTTGGTATTACAAGCCCGTAGCACCGGAGGTTTCTGTTGGAGCAGACAACTTGAGGAAGGCCGGCCCTGCTGCACACAGTGGACGGATCGGGTCTGAACCCCTCCCCCACAGGTCACCGTGCACTGCAGGACAGGGAAGAGAATCAAACATTCAGCTGGCATGTCGGTGATCTCAAAGAGGCGTCTCTGTGCTGCATGACATTACCAAGACCTCTGCTGATAAAAGGGATCCTCCAGAGCCAGGTACATGTGAGCCATTTGATCTGATTAGAAGGGTCTTAGTTAGGCTAATGCTATCTCACCCAAGAGTGTGTGTCTCCCATTAGGTGGCTCATAAAGGAGAGAGCTTCCAGAAATACAGAAGCCGCCATAAGAATGCAGAAACAAATACAGACACATCTAGGCAATTAAAGGCAGTATTTAAAGAATTCCAAATAATCTCTGCAGATGCAGTAGTGGGGGAGATAGTTCAAAACTAGGACAGCAAAAGAAACGAGACTCTGAGACGGCTTTGGAGTTAGGCCCTCTGTGCCCAGCCAAATTCTGAGCTAGCATGGTAGATGCGGTGCTTCCCAGAAGTCAATGATTTTATTGTCCAATTAGATCCAATTATATATATATATATTTTTTTTTTTTAGAAAAAAATGATTAATAAGGACTGTTAAATTTTCATGTCTGGAAAAAATACTAAAGATATTTCATAACAAGAAAATATCAGAAAAAGACAGCCCTTAAATTATCTTGTTTTGCTTTTAAAAATTCACTAGTTATCCTTATTTTTCTTATATTATCGCAGACAGGTGAAAACTCATCTTGGACAAGCATCACTATATAGACTGGTATCTGGGATGAAAAATTGGTTCTGGTGCAAAAAATATGATTGAGAATTAGCTCAAAATTCAAATACAGCTGTATGGTAGTTATCAAACCAGGAGTTGGCAAACTTTTCCTGTAAAGGTGAACACAGTGAATATTTTAGGGTTTGTTGCAACTCTGCCTTTGTCACACTAAAACAGCTATGGACAAGACAAACAAGCAAGGGAGCAGATTGGGCATGCTGGCAATTGTTTACTGATCTAAATAATCTTATAAGAATCAATTTCCAGATCTTTTGAGTGAAATGATGAAAATTTTAAAAAGAAATCTATAGCAATAGGTATAGCACCTAATACAGTGCCTACCCAATTAGAGATAAAAAATCATGCCAATATGATTTTCTTTCCTCCATGTTTTACTTCCTCGATCCTCCCAAACATATATATATACACATATATAGTTGACTCTTGAACAACACAGGGTTAGGGGCGCTAACCCTTGCTGGAAATCCACATATAATTTTGACTCCCCCAAAACTTAATAGCCTACTGTTGACTAGAAGTCTTACTGATAACAGTTGATTAACACATGTTTTATATATGTGTGATATACTGTATTTTTACAATAAAGTAGGCCTGAGAAAAGACATTAAGAAAATCATAAAATATATTTACAGTATTAATTGAAAGAAATCTGAGTATAAATGGACCTGTGTAATTCGAACCCATGTTATTCAAGGGTCAACTGTATACACACACATATATGTATATACATTACACATGCACATGTATATAAGTATATATAAACACTGACACATATGCACGTATAGACACATGCATGTACACTGTGCTCGCACATACCCCGCTCCGCCCCTGCGTTTCATAGCGAGGGGTGGGCAGCACCTCTCAAGCCAGTGAGTTCTTTGAAGAGCTACACAACATCTTTTGGTCAGAATTCTGCAAGGACCAGACTATAGCTTTGGATTTCTGAGGATATCTTGTTCTCTCAGACTTAGCCTCACATACCAATCTGGCCAATAAGAACCAAACCAAAATTTCATCTAAGTCTCCTAAGAAAAAGGGTGCCATTAACATCGGATGAGCTGGGTGTCCTTAGCTGAATTCCCTAACTCTCTGAGCTTTAGCTCCTTCATCCACAACATCAGAACAGGAATACATACTAATGAGACTGCTTCCAGGATAAAGTGAGAGAATAGAGAATGCACAGTAATGGTTTGACAGCTGTTAGCTATTACCATATTATTCAGAAACGTGACATAACCAAAGGAGTCAAGACTGTGAAACAGCATTTCTAAAATATAGAAGACCCTAGTGGTGGTTTGAAAAGCAGCAGCCACCGCAAACATTAGCACTATGTGACAAGCCGAGTACTAAGTGCTTCATATCATCTTATTTGCTCATGGAAAAAAAAAAAACCTTGCAAGATATTGTCATCGCAACTTTAGAGATGTGAAAACAGGCTCACAGATTATGTAATTGCCCAAGGCCACACAGGCGGTGGAGCTGGCCACAGAACTCAAGCCCTTTGTTCTTCTCATTTGGACAGGTCTCTCGCATTAGCCGTTGGTGGACTGACTGCTTTTTCTGACTCTCCACCTACACCTTGTCAATCTGCACGTGCTCACCTGTTGCCACGGTGATGAATACCATCCAGCTGCCACACTGTACACTGGACGGACTGGACAGGCCCCTCGGTTGCAGGTTTCTTCCAAGTCCAGGTTTGGTTTCTTAATATTACGGCACCTTCGCTCCGGGAAAGTTATCAGCTTTCCCTGGAAGGCCTTCTCGTTGCATTTCATTTGCCTCTTCCTCACACCCAGACCACAGGTGACAGAACACTAGGAGCCAAGAAAGGAGACATTGAGTATGCGGAGCTCCACGGTCAAGTCTGCTGAGCAGATGCATTCCAACCTACGGATGCACCGCCCACATGAAACCTAAGGGATGGATGATGGCAGGTCAACCACACACATACAAAGATCCTAAAAATAGAGCACCAGGTCCCTCATGCTACAGGTGAGAAAACCAAAGGCCAGAGAATTTTAGTCATTTTCCCAAAACCACAGAGCTCCTCAGCACCATAAAACAAAATGAGGCAAAGTCCAGAGAAAGACGAGATGGCAGAGGATGGGATCAGGGTCTGTGTATAGTGTTTATTTGGATGTCCAGGTTTGGGCCCCTGTGGACCCAGGTCGACCTGAGACTAAGAAGTTGGGAGTCTGTGCCAAGGAGGCAGGGCACAGAGAAGAGGGTTAGAGGCAGCTGAGTGGGAGGAGCCACCATTTAATAATTGTCCCTTATTTTTACCCTGCCTCTATCTTGGCCGAGATGTAACCTGAAGTGGTGTTATGGCAGAAAGAAGGATGGAGACTAATGAAATCAATGTGAGAAAACTTGTTGTTTTAAGTATTTTAAACATTGTTATGGGATAAGGTATGGGGCCTTGATGAACCGAATAAGAACTGGCATCAGTGCAACAATAAAGGATGACACTGAGCTTCCTACTTAAACAGCTCTGTGAAGAAGATGCAAATGGTGGCTCCATTGTACAGGTAAGTGAGGCTTAGCCACGGTAAGTGACAAGCCCAAGGTCACACCTAGAGCGAATCCTGAAGGCTGCATTCAGGTGGGGTAACGTCGATTCAAGCCCAAGTGTTTAGCCGTTAGGGCATAATGTCTCTAAGAAAATGCTCAAGGAAAAGAGATGGACATATAGCTATCTATATTTATCATTTAGAGAGAATAAAAGGGCATTGATAGAAAAGATCCAGTGGCATTGGGCTAGAAACCCCTCCTCTGGTGAACCTGCCCCTCCTCACTGCTGCCCTTTTCTCTTTCTCAGCATCTTCCTCACCAGACCAGACTTCTTAAGAGCAGAGACCTCGTCTCACAGGTTACCTGGTCTACTTCCGGCTTGGCTCCTTTCCTCACGTTTCCTGTGTCTGAACTCAGTGAGTTTCCCAAGCCAGAAAGCTAGGCGGCATCTTCCAGTCTTCTTTTCCCTCTACCCCTACAATTGCCCGAAGGCACCAAATGATCTCTCTAGGAGTTCTCAAAGATGCGGCCTTTCGCTATCCCTGAAACACTTGCATTTTTTGTCTTACTTACTGCAAACTCACGCAAGTGCCTTTCCTGCCTCTGGGCTTGCCTGCTTTGCATCAGTCCCCTTGTCTCTTAAACAAAAACCTGTTTGTTCCACTCCTTTGCTTAAAATTTTAATTGGCTCCTGAACACCCTCATGATCCGTCCCTAATAGTTTCCGGCTCCATCACACCCCTGTTCCATTCTTACTGAGTGCTATATTCTCTCGCCTGCACAGGGTGCATCCTCTGTCTGGAACAACCTTTGCCGGATTCCTGCTCATCCTTTGGGCTCACACTTCCTGGAAAGTCTCTTTTGACAAGGATTCTTCCCACTATCAGGCTGGGTGGACCTCAAGCTCTCCCATGGAAGTACAGAGCCCATCACAGCACTCCGCATACCATTCCTCTGTTTTCCTACCACCATTGCTGATCAGGGCAATGAGTGCTTTTTTAACATTAGATGAAGAAATCAGGAGGAAAAGATGAACAGTTGGTATCTGGTACACGTGTGTGGAACAGAAGCTTTGAGCATCTGGATGCTGGTGGGTGAGCTGAGCATTCAATAACGACAAACCCAAAACCCAGCAGTACATCTAAACCCATACCTCACTCCAGGAAGAGACGACCCACTGCAGCCGGTTGTTTCTGGGGCATCGTCCTAGGACGCAGCCCTCCTGCGCCTCTGGTCTCGGGGTGCTGGAGCACAGGCTGTCAGGGAGGCCTTCTCCCGCGGCAGAGCTTTTACACAGGATTTCGCGTTTCCTCACCCCTCGCCCACAGGTCTTGGAACACTTGAGATGGAAAAAAAAAAAAAATGAAAGCTATTTGCATGCTAGTTTCAAATGATTTTCAAGTTCTCAAAAAGATACATTTGAAACAAAAAAATGCCCTCTCAAAATATTTCCATGTGAAATGTGGGGTAAACTCCATGAATTAAAGCCACTTTTCGTGAGAAACCCGCCACCCCTGTTTCCTGTATCTACACCCACCACACACGTTGGGCTAAAACAGTCCTTTGAATTCTCCTTTTGTAAATGATAACTAATTCCAAAAAAGAGATCAGACTCAACACCCTGTACTGCTTAGATGTACCCTGTGGTAAACGAACCTACTCCCTCATTTTAAAAGTCCACCTAAGCACGTGTGAAGATGTTCTTTCCCACTCCCAGCTCCTTATTCCCTTAACAAATATAGTCCTAACATTAAAAAAAAAATTCCATAATGTCCTATCATTAAAAATATAACACCTTATTCTGACCTCTGTCGGGGATATGGCCGTGCACTACTAACCTTAATCAGACGTCAACCCCCTCCTCAATATAATATGCCCTCAAGGAAAACGTGGCAGAAATGTGCTACCTGGATTCATAGTTCAGGCAATGAAACCCCTGAATTTTTTTATTATTCCCTAAAATTGCCTTGCCATCCACGGTTTAGCAGAGGCTGGGCCATCACAGCAGAGTTCTCACTCTTGGCACAAGCTGGACCAGGTAATTCATCAGGAGCTGTCCTGTGCATTGTAGGATTTTTATCTCTACCACCTAGATGCCAGTAGTACCCATTCCCCCATTGTGACGATCAAAAATGTCTCTCAATATTGCAAAATTCGGGATTTGCTCCCATCTGAGAACCTCTGAGTTGCAAATGACGGGTAGTTCTATGCCTCTTCCAACTTGATAACTTTGTACCGTTCACTGGGAGTCGTGACAAGAGCAAACTTTATGCCCAACACCTCTCTCTATTCTTTTAACCCTACGTCTTTCAATGAAGCAAGAGTTAAAATCCTTTTTACACCTTATTCTTTGTACTTGCCATTTGCGTTGGAGAATTCGGTAGCCAGTTTCGTCCGCCAGTCCTCTGACACTCAAACACTGTCTAGTCTTGGGCACCAGTCTATCCTACATGACCCCCAACACTCTCGTTTCTGGACTTCTAAGGATCCCCAAACTGAAAGTTACATAAGAATCACCAAAAAAGCTAATTAAAATGCCCCATCACATTAGCTCAGTGTGATTCCCATGAAGGTGGATACAGCTGAGAGCCTCTTGGGAAGCAGATATTTTTTGTCACCCTCATTTGCCACGGGGAACAAGACCAATGACTCTAAGTCTTTCCCAGTTACCTGAGACCAGGGCCCGAGGCTCCACCCTGGAGGGCAGGCATGGCTGTTGCAGAATTGAACTTGCGTGGGTGTGCTCACCGGGCAGAGCGAATGCAGGACGGCCACCTCCTTTTGGAAGGGCTTCTTCTGGACACACTGGATTTTCCGGCTCTGCTGGCCCCTCGCACATGACCTGCTGCACACGCTCCATTCACCTGGCTTCCAACTTCCAGTGAAAAACAGAATTACTTCCAGTGAAGCTGAGACTCTGGCTCATCGCTTCCAAAGCAGTTATTGCAAAAGGTGAACCACCCGATGAAAGCTTTAGATCGATTTTAGGACTAATAAGGGTGATTCATACTAATTATTCTCCTATAGATTTTGAAGCCTACACTAATGTGATCCAGTTATAGGGAGCTGCATTTAGTCACCACACAGTTCTGGGGAAAAATACATTCCTGTCCTCCACAGGGGAAGAAACATGTGCCATCTGGAAATCTGAGCCATTCATTCATTCATTCAGATTTACTGGGATCCTAACTTTATGCCAAGGACTCTCCTAGGCATTAGGGTTGGAAAAATGAAGGAGGTGATGTCCTTTCCATCAGGAGCCTACAACACAGTGAAGAGGCAGATATGTGAATAAATAAAGACAATGCTTTCTGATAACTGCCGCAATAGAAGTGACACTACAATGAGACTAATGGAAAAGTGCGCGTGAGAGGGGTATGTGTGTGTGTGCACACGTGTGAGAGGGGTATGTGTGTGTGTGTGCACATGCAGGAGAGAGGGGCGCATTCAGAGAAGATCTCCCAGAGCATATTTCTAAGCAGACGGTTACCCCAGCTACTGTTCTGATTGGTCTTAAAATTTACTGATAGAGGTATAACCTTGCGTTCTTTATTTATACATTGCTAGACCACTTTTTCACAGCAGTCTGAGACTTGGTGTATATTTGAAGGGTAATCAACTTAAACTATTAATCCTTTTTAACAACTACTTTTGATTAACTGAAACTCTGTGATTTGAAGGCCTGGTGTTAAAAAAAATCTACCAGATATGACCATTAATACATTTGAGTCATAGCAGCAATGTCTAAAACTCATCTTTTTTAAATCAATATTCTAAGTATCATTTTAAATAAACCACTACAAATACATTTTTTATTATAACTTTGCATTTCTGTCTCCTTTCCTAGTCCTATAAATTTTCCTAATTTCCCCCACAAGACATATGACATTAAAGACCTTTAGTCTACAGAATTTAGAACATGGATTCTAGGATATGTATTCTAAAACACTGTATAATCCATATTAAATATGGTATCAAATAAAATAATTCCTTATATTTGTATAAGTAGTTGTATCTTATAAGATGTAGAGAAAACATGGAACTATTTTCAAGATTTGCCTATAAAGATGACATTTTCGTCTACCAAAGTCAAGTTTCTTTCCTTCATGCAGCAAAGATGATGACTTAGTAAAAGTACTAGAAAAAGCATAACACAAGCAGACTTTTTGCATGACATGCATGGTTCTCCACATGTGGTCCCAGGCTCCCTCTCCACCTGGCCCCATTCCCTATCAACCCCCACCTCTGAGCCCAGACTCCTACAACGCCCATTTCTCCCACACTGCTTTTTTACACACAACATATTTTTAGCATGTATCTCACTGCTTCTCAATTATTCCTTTACACATCCAACTCTTCCATTTAGTTGTGGGTTCACTGACGACAGGAACCACAAGTTATCTGTCTCCGAACCCCAGTCCTCAGCTCAGAGCTGGCATGTAGTAAGTGCATAGGGCATGATTAATACATGAGGGAATAATGGTGTTAGATCAGATTAATCCCTTTGTCTTTCTAGCTCTCATAGTCTGAATCTGAACCTTATTTTTAGTATATCCCCGGGGAAGATTGGAAGTCCCCACTATTCCAAGAAGAAATAATGAGATATAAATGATAGGATGGAGAAGGAAAGCAACGCAAGATCCTGCCCATTGCACCACTCTCACTTGACAGTCATTGTGAGGGGCTCTTCTGCTTTTAAATAGCCAGTAAACTGGTTCCTGCACAGAATATCATTTCTATGTGGAGTCATCAGGGAGCTTCTAGGAGTCGAGCATGACCTAGGTTCTCTCCCTTTTCGCGGATGTATGTTTGAAGGGGGTCCCTTTTTTAGCTGGCGAGATAACCAATGATGGGAAGGAAGCTTAAAATAAGAAAACATCAGCTTGCCATTCAAACATATCCACGATTCCTACTTGTACACAAACACCCACGCAGCCCACCTAAAGGAAAGATCGCTCCACAGAGGTCAATAATACTGTCTGGTAATCATGTCATAGAACTACATATTTCTTCGAAGCAGATATTCCTTAGCAAAAGGGGAAAATCCATGAAAGCCCCCAAATTTCTTTCTCCTTTTTCTGTTTAGGATACAGCTGGCTCGAGATTCTAAGAGGAAAAACTGGGCCAACAACTGAACATATGAGATTAGTGGATAGCTAAGGCCCCAAACGATTATGACAAATACACTATAAAGAAAAAAAATAGATGTATATAAAAATATTGTGCAATATAACTATCACCACAAAGCAAACACTGCTTATTAAGATGATCTGAAACATTAGTGAACACAAAATGTTGCTTGAGAAGAAACTCTGTCAATCCTATATAAACACATTTGGCAGAAGATAAATCATACAAGAAAAGACTTTATTTAGCTGGGAAGATTATTTAAAATTAGTGTTCAAGCAAGAGTGTGGCTAAAATCCATCCAAAAACAAACCCACTGAGCTTCCCATAGGGTACCATCATCAGAAGTGGATTACTATTTGCCCTCTCTACCCCTTTCTTTTTAGTTTGTGTCTTGCTACTGTATAATTTACATTTGGGGTTTCACGGTCTGCATAGTATGATTTTTAAATTTTAGACAACTATATAAAATTAAGCACAAAACCACAAGTGAATTTAACTAATATAGGAATCTGTGTTATTTAAATATCTGTTTTAGTTTAGAGGAGTCTCTATGTAAAGACTGTTACAAAAATAAAAAATAAAAACCCTTATAAAAAACAAATATCTTTATATCCCAATGGTAGGTTTGCATAGCCAGAGTCAAATGAATGTCTAAAGCAAATTTGTATCATTTAAGTTTGTATTTTAACCTCGACTACTTTCTTTTATTACTTTTTTGGTCATCCTATCTATCTATGCACCACTTTAGGTCAGAAGCATTGACAGTGGGCTGTAATTATCTCATACCAACAGTAAAGGCATACAAAGTACAACTATAACCAGAAAGACATTTCCAGATGACTTACTAGGCAGGGCAGGAGAAAGCATTGCATACTTTGGGTTCAGTTGCTGGCTTGGTTCTTGCATTGCAGAATGAGGAATTGACTTGAGTATTTTGATCTCGTAAGCAAATGGCCTTTACACTTATATAACCTAATAAGACATCAAAAGTTACAAAGTAAAAAGTACAGATAACCAATTCAATTTAATTTTCAAATTTAATTTCTGATTTAAGCCAGAAATATCAGGCTTCTGATATTTTAAGATCCATATATTGTGCTGAGAATGCCTCCTTTTAATAAAATCTGCAACTAATCCATTTTCCATTTTCCCCTGAGATAATAGTTTTCATATATTAATAATTTTAAAGTGTAGCTTCTTCATTTTCCAGGCTGCTGTGGATCCTAGAACCACATAGTGATTCATACAACCTTCGGGAAACAGGGCAGTTGTAAAGGAAGCATCCGCCAACTGTAATTCACACTACACGCATCTAATGGATAATGTTCTTCAAAGAAAACCACTGGTGAATTGTGCATGGAAACTCTAAGATTATGCTTTTCCACAAAGCATGTTCTACCTCTATAAGAGTGTGATGCACATATAAACAAAAAATTGAAAAAAAAAGTTGAGCTCGCTAAATATGTATTCGCACCTGTCAGCTAGGTCTCTGTTTTCGTGTTGGTCTGTGTTAGTGGCATTCTATGGCCTTGCTTTCAATGCTGGTTTCAGAACTTCTCATCAGATGCCTAAGTTGTTTTTTGAATAACTGTATTTGTCAGCTCCCCAAATCAGAATGCTGCCTCCTCTTTGAATTGTGTTTGTTTCTGTTTACATGTGCTTTACCTTAAAACGGAATCTGAGAAGCAATGAAAAGTCACGCCTGCTCTAATGGTTAGGCTGAAGTAGGTTTGCTTTCAGGAAGGCTAATCGAAACTACACTGGCATTCCCTAAGGTTGAGTTCACTTCTGGAGAACTTAATCATTTGGACTCTTCTTCTTATGTGCCTCGGACACACCACGGTCTGTGAGTCACGTGAAGGGATCGCTAAGTCCAAGCAAGAGGGAACCCCGCAGCGAACCTCTCCAGCACCCACTCTGGGTTGGATTTATTCCTTGTAAGTGGACAATGGACCAAATTTCTCTCCTTCCCAAGGAACTGTGCTCTCCCTCAGATGCCAGAAAGTGCTTGCAAATGGTCTCAAAGAACGCTTGATATATGAAAAACTGCTCATGCTCCAAGACTACATAAAAAAGAGGAAAGATATGTCTATAGCATGGTTTCTGGGATGTAAAACACAAACAAACAAAAAACCCAAAATGATACCTAAGGCAAATATATGTTTGAGTATGTCAAACAAATGTACTTTTACATTTGCATAATAAAAAGAATAGCACAATATAGACCAAAGTATTTACACTGGCTATTACTGATTAAAGGATTATGGAGATTATTTTTATTCTTTATAGTATATTGCTTTAATATAACTATAAATGGTTATTAATAAAAATGTATTACTTTTTAATTTTTTGAAAAAAATTATTTCTTCATATTTTGTTAATTAACATGAGCACCTGAAGAATAGGCCTAAGAATTTCTGAATTTTCTATACTTCTTTTTCCGGTTCCAAGATGGCTCATTTTGCTTAGTGAGATGGATACATAAGACTCATTGTCACCAGGTGCTCTGAATATGAGGAAATGAATAACTACCCTTCATGCTTTGGTTCATGGACCTATTTATGGACTTTCATTCCTTTTCCAAAAGGGGTAAGTGTGACCAAGATTGACTTACAAACAAATACGTGATGTTTTTGGATCTCAACAAAATGTCTGTCTTCTACTCTCTGAGAGAACAGCTATTGTTTTTCCTTCCTTAAAGGGTTATTTCTCAGATTTAATCCATTTTCCTACTGAGAGAGACTTTGCTGACCTCACCCCTCAGGGGATGGAATGGCACCATATCCACATTTCAGGGAGCTGTGTAAGGCTGCTTTGCATGTGTTCTCACTTGTCATGACCCTACCTTCCATGAGTCCCAGTGGGAGGTTTATAACAACTGGAAGTTGTTATAAAGTCAGGACAAGGAGAAACTAAACTGTAAGCCTAAAACATTTTAAATATAAATATATATATGTATGCATATATTCTTATATTTATAAATACATATATGTTTTTTATATATTTTCCCCCATAAGTTTCTGATGTATAACTCTTGAGTTCTGGTTATGGTTGACTTGAGTTTTGTGAGAACTGGTTTCTTTCTACATATGAAAATCCTCAAATAGTACAATAATATTTGCTTTTTACAGTGATGATTCCCATAAGAGACGGTTCTTTTGTTGCTTATTTGAACCACACAACTTAAAGAAGCCTGAAGTGAAAGAACCTGTTTTAAGAAGAGAGCTGGAAAATGGAATTAAGAAATCACCTACCTCCACCGCAGGAGACGGAGCAGTTCGAATGTACTGTGCTCCAGGCATGGATGTGTCTTTCTGTGGCTGGCTGACTTCCACTCATGACCTTGGGAAGTGCATACTTCCAAGCTATGCCTGGATTTTTGCCTTGCATCAGAATCTGGACAGTGTAAGATAAAATCAGAGATCAAGACAGGTCAGACCCCAGAATTCCAGAAACCTCACTGAACATTTTAAAGATATTTGCATGACATTGTGACCTTAGAGTTGGTTCACATCATTGTTCCCATTTGTTTTATGTTGATTTAAAGTATTCCCATGACACTTTAAAATGTGTACCTCCATTATCACCAAAACTGATTTAGATA